TGTTTACCCTGAGCACCACTGGGATTGAGCCCTGCATCCCCAACTCTGCAAATGTGAAATGAAAAGCAATTCTCCTCTGCTGAATTAACCCTTTCATTTGTAAGAGATACATAATTTTTGTGTATTTTTGCGCATTCACGAAGGTATGCTTACAGACATTGATATTAGCAGTTTGTAACTGACCAGTATGGTTCCTTGTGCGGGGGGAAAATTCACGGACTCTGAGAACTGAAAATGGCACAAGGCTAGAGCTCTCTGAGGTTGGGTGATGGTAGTGAACTGCTGGTCTTCCCTTCTGAAAGCACACTGCTAGTGATAAGTTTTATTCACAGGGATAGAGAAAGGCATTTGCCAGATTAAGAACTGCATACCAGGTACCAGGGGAAGTATTAATTATCTCAAGCAGTGAAGCCACATCTGGTACAGTTGCTGCAGTTTGAGTCATCACCAGGTTAAGCATATGATTATCTGCTGTTATTCTCCATAATCCGTCTGCACTGACTGGATATGGTAAGAAATCATGACCATGTGATAATACTGGTCTCTGTAACTGGGGCAGGAAGGCAGTTTTGCCTTTGTTTATCATTTCTTTAAGCAGCAGCAGTTCCAGTGACTTCCTTTCAAAGTTTCCCACTCGAATAGTTTTCACTCCATATTCAGGGACAGAGTGGAGATAGATACTGCATGGCGCTAAGCATGTCTTTTACAAATATGCTTTCACGAACTGGGGACGTAATCCCCCGGGATTCATCAAACCTCTGGGCCCACTGTGAGATGGATCTGAATGAACACTCCCTTATTCACCTGATTGCTAAGTCCTTCCTCTGGTGGGCCACAGTCAGCTATAGGGAGTGAATATACAGTATTTGAGATAAGTTTCTATAATAAAATGTCATGAATTACGCATGAAGTTCATTGCTGATTAATGGAAACACTTTGTCCAGATGGATTGTGTTCTAATAAAATGCAAAAGTAGCCAGCTGGCTTAAAACTGGCGAGAGACAGTACAGTTGACAGGGCACTTGCCTTGCGTGCCACCAACTTGAGTTTGATCCCTGGCAGCACATGTGGTTCCCAGAGCCCACCAGGAGTGATCCCTGTACACTGGGCCAGGAATAAGCCCTGAGAACCTCCAGGTGTGGCCCCAACTCCCCTCCTTCTCCCGGGAGGCGGGGGAGGACACTGCAGAGAAGTAGATATAGCCATGGAAGAAAGGTTTCAAATTGACTCCCCCCTTTTCTGGGAAAGAAACCTACTTCATACTGTTTTCTTGTCTGCTCTTTACAAGTGGAATGTTCTATAGTTTTTAAAAGCGTATCAGTTATGTGCCTTCCCTCCTTGCCCCTTCTTTCCTTCTTTCCTTGCCTTTTTTTTTTTTGAGTGTCATGTGTTAGATTTACTTTTTAAAAATTTATTGTAGCACTGTAGCACTGTCCTCTCGTTGTTCATCGATTTGCTCGAGTGGGCACCAGTAATGTCTCACAACAAATTGTGACACTTGTTACTGTGTTTGGCATATCGAATACGTCACGTGTAGCTTGCCAGGCTTTGCCGTGCGGGCGAGATACTCTCGGTAGCTTGCTGGTCTCTCCGAGAGGGGTGGAGAAATTGAACCCGGGTCAGCCGCATGCAAGGCAATGCTCTGCCCGCTGTGCTATCATATAAAATCCGCAGAGGTTTTTCTTGGATTCACTTGAGACCTTAGTTCTTAAAACTGGCTTTTCTAAAATTTTTCTCTAGTAGTGTTTCTCCCACTCAGTTAACAGAATAACCCAAGGAAGCTTTAAAATATCTGGTGCCTGAAACTAGTTTAATCAGAATACCAGAAGTAAGACAGTTCCATTAACATTTTTAGGTTTCTCAAGTGTTCCCAATGTGCTGTCAGCATGACAGGCACTGTTCTCCCTATTCTAGAAGGATCCCCAAGGCCATCTTTCTTCCTTTGTCCCCATTGTTTGTATTTGTTTTAGGACACGCCTGCAGTGCTCAGGGCATACTCCTCTCTGAATTCTGGGCTCGCTCTTGGCAGAGCTGAGGGAACCATCAACTGTGCTGGGGATTGGACCCCAGTCAGGCATGTGGAAACAAGCACCTTCCCTCCTGTACTGTATCTTCTGCCTTGTCCTTGTTACTTTAAAGGAAACGTCAGTGAATTGCATAGCCCTTGCCTCTCGGTGGCCTTGCCTGTGATGGGAATTTAATAAATGTAGGGAGTTTAATAAATAGTTTGATTTCTATTTCATCACTCCAGTGAGGAACATTCCATACTAAAACAAACACGAAGAAGTCTCTGATCTGGGCTTGGAGTAATTGCTTTGGGCATTTGCTTAGACTGCACATCACTCTCTAGTTGCTTTATAGAGATTCAGTGCATCTTACAAGGGAAGGTTTAACTAGAATGAACTGAAGTGAGAAAGTGTATATGCAATAATTTGATGGAGAGCAAAAGGTTCATATCAGAAAGCCTAGATTAAAAGCCAATTGCTAAGCTGTTTCTTGCCACTGAACTGTACATAAAGCTGAACACTTGTAAGACCTTATGTGCATGTGGTTTAGTGTCCAATATGGCCACACAGAAAGTCTCTTTTCTTACTGATACTTAATTTTATTCTAAGTAGACAAAATAGCTGAACCACGTTTGCAGTTTGAACGAAGTACATAGCACCGCTTTGCACTGTAGCACTGTCCTCCAGCTGTTCAGGTGGGCCCAGTTACGTCTCCATTGTGAGACACTGTTACTGTGTTTGGTATCGAATATGTCACGGGTAGCTTGCCAGGCTTTGTGGTGCGGGAGAGATACTCTCGGTAGCTTTCAGGACTCTCCAAAAGGGGCGGAGGAATCGAACTCGGGTTGGCCACATGCAAGGCAAACACCCTACCTGCTGTGCTGTCGCTCCAGCCCAAAGTAAATGGATTTTAAAACAATAAACATAATTATAAATTATAACTGAGAGGCAGAGACAGACGTGGTATGAATCTGAAATCAGATCCTGTACAGAACCATTCCAGATACACATGATAAATCTAAGGCAAGAGTAATTTCAATATTATTTCCTGGGATGATAAGAAAGAACAATACCAAGAACTGCAGATGAAGGCTCTGCTTCCACAAGTCTTAAGACATCTACAAAGTGCACAGAAGTCGAAGATGAAAATGGACATACTCTCTCAAGCAATACAGAGCAATAACAGATATTACTTATTGTATTAAAGAGGGTGGAGACCTCACTACGACATATAACTAAAATCACGCCCAAATATTAGTGAAAAATAGTTAACCTTGGTACCCTTTTTGGTTTGTTTTGGGGCCATTCCCGTTGGGGTTCAGGATCTTTCTCAGAGGTCACCCCCAGTAGTGGTTAGGGGACCGAATGGTGCCAGTGCCAGAAAGTTAACCAGGTAATGCAAAGCAGTAGAGTGCTACTCGTTATTTAGTTGTAATGCATTTTAATATTAACAATACCAGTTGTAACCATTGTAATGTGAAAACTTACAACTTTTCAACTGGTATAGATTGTGATAACACCTTGACAATAAGAATGAAGAGTCATAATTGTTCTTTTTAATCTAATTATCCTCGTGACACATCTTCCAAGGAATCTGAAATGTAGAGAAAGTCTTTATATGTAATACCATGGAACAGTAATATGTTGATGTTGGATTTCAACTTTGCATGATTGCTTCAACATTCCTAAAACAGAAAAAGATGATAGCATAAATAAAATTCTTTCCTGTCGTTCTTTTCTTATTGTGCTCATTGGTACAGTGTCTGGAGATGGCATGTCGCTGGTGCCAGGGCCCTCCCAGTTGCTTTGCTTGCAGGGGGTTGGGGGGATCCAGTTCTTGGCTGGAGATTACACACTTATGCTGGGAATCACAACAGCAGTACCATGGGTCAAGCTCACAGCCTCACACACATGCCAGCCAGGTGCTCTACCACTGAACTGCATCTTGCATAGAATTGTTAAATGTGTTGATGTAGAATTTTTGGTGCAGTTACACAAATGCAAAATAGTCCTAATGGTATATTTAGGGGTTTTTTGTGTATAAGTGCAATTCATAGGCATAGAATAGTCTAAAGAGGCTAGAATGTTTTCTATTGTATTGATTTAATTTTTTTTCTTTTTTAGTGAAGCAAGATAGTTTTTATTGAATGAAACATACTTAAAGATATGGGGGGGGGTGGCAATAGTAGGAAATACCTGTACAAGAGTGAACACAGGTGGAAAATAAGAAAAAGAAATAGAGACAGGCCAGCAAGAACACGGGTTTGAGGAACCAGCCTGTAGTTGACTTTTTTAGGTAGTAGAATTACGGGTTTACATAAAGTTACATATTTCCCCCCAAAATGCCATGTCTGTCGGCTTTGTTATTATTTGCTTTCTTTTCTTTTTTAACCAGAAAACATACACAACATAGCATACAGAGGATAACTGGCTTGTAGAGTATGCTTAGTTTATAGGGTGTAACTAACACACACACACAAAGTGTGGTTCATTTACTGGTGTAAGTAGCACAGGGATAGTAATTTACAGAGTGCCCCTCCCTTACAGAGTGTGACTGGCTTTCACAGGGACTGTCCATTATAACTGATAGCCTGTCCTCAGGAGCCAGCTGCCCTCTGAGCTGCCACAGTGGGGCATGGGGCTTCATAAGGTGAAGACTGGGCAACGATGTCTACGTGCTTTTCTGCGTGTTCTACTCCTTTTGGGAGCCATTCAACAGGCGCTGATGCTTCTGTGCAGACGAACTCTCAGCCACTGAGAAGTGGGCTGATCAGACCAATCATGCTCAGAAGCCCTAGGGAAATGAGCTAGGATTAATTGCCTGAGCTTTTCTTTGACACCCCTTTCACACATTTTACTTATTCATTTTTTTAAGAATCTTTGCAGGAGCTGAGGGAGAAGCCGCTTTGTTATAAAGCTGCACAGACTTTTCCTCGGCACAGGTCAAAAGGGTCTTGTTTCTCTGGCCTGACAGTGTGACTCTCTACCCCACAGCTGGCCCTGAAGGACCCCGTGCACACAGTGTCGCTGCAGCAGTTCATCTATGAGAAGCTCAAGGCCCAGCAGGAGCTCCTGGGAGAGCAAGGTTTTCAGTCCCTCATGGAGACGGTGGACACGGAGATTGTCACCCAGCTGCAGGAGTTTCTGCAGGGCTTCTGAGAGCCCAGGCATGCAGCCGCCTCCCATTCCAGAAACATCTGAGGAATCCAGCCTGTCGTCTGTGTGAGAGCCTGCTGAGACGCTCAAGAAATCTCTTCTGTAGGAAAATGAAGAAGTAAAGAACACTTTTTTTTGGTACAACAAAATTCAACAAGTAAATGTAAATCCCACATAATTAAAACCACCAAGCTGCTCCTCAGAAGGATTTAATTTTGTATTTATTAGGGGCCCTGTGTTTACTAGAGAGAGAGATTTGACAGCAGTAGCTGCATAGTTTCCTGTTAAGCAAAGAAACCATTCAATTACCTTTTAATCATGTGCTCTTAATACTTGAGAAGATAAGGGTTCATGTCTGAGATGTTTTTCTGCAGCCCAAATTAGTTAAGTTTGGCTGCTTTTTTTTTTTAAAGCAATGCGTCGACAAGGTGGAAACACAATGCTATTCAGATGGTACATTTAAAGAAATCCGTGCACCAGGCAGAAATAGATTGGGACAGATACCTAGGTTCTCTTTTAAGGAAGTAGCTTTAATCTGACATAGAAATGTGTTTTATCACGGGCTTTTATCTTCATTCTAGTAATTTGATATGGGAATTAGTAAAGGGACTTTTTTTCCTCACGTCATTTTCAGTAATTACATGTAGTCTTCCTGTCAGTGCACATTGTAAGGCCCGCCGAGGCGAGCCTGTGCTGCTGGAGTGCCAGCCAGAAGACTTCTGGCCGTGCTTTGCCCCGGTCCTGCTGTCAGTCCCGCTGACCAGGAACACTGTGCTCACCGGGAAGCAGCCGGTGACCCCACAGAACCTCCCTGTGCTATGCAGGGCAGTGGCGGGCTGGCCAGTACTTACAGGTCTTCTTCCTTATGACCACTGGACCTCAGTGACACGGGTACCCCTGGTGGACCCAGCATCTGTCCCCGGGGTATGACGCTCACGTGACATGTCTTCCTTATTCCTCCGGTGTGGAATACCAAAAAGAGGGGGAGGAGAAAATAAAGCCTTACTTTGTTGTACTTGCCATTCATTTTAAGAAACCTTTACAGCATTCTTAAGGACACGTTCAGAAGCAAGGACGGCTAATGTCTGCTCTTTCTGTGGAACGCTGGGTGCAGTGTGTAACTGCGGGAGACGTTGGTGGGCTGTGGCACCCGGAGAGTGTGGAAATACTCGATGCTGTCAGTAAGAGAAAGAAAATATGGTCCAGATTAAATTTTCCAAAGATACCTCACCTCTGACTGATCTGTTTGATTTTTTCCCTCCCTACCCCTCCCCTGATAACTTCCTTCCCTCCCCCCCCCCCACGCGCGTGTGTGTGTGTGCGCGCGCACACACACACACACACACACACACACAGAAAGAAACAAAGGTGAAGTTTCCTTCACTCAGGTGTTGCTGCTGTTGTGGGTGCCAGTGCTGCAGGTAGCACATCTTTTTTAATTTCTCTTTTCATTTAAAGATCAGAAGCTTTACTCCGATAAAGGGCGATTTTGAAAGAATGGCTTTTTATTGTTGTTAACTTATTTTCATTTGAGGCACCATTCCCATTAGTGTCATCAGAAATTCTCAAACTTGCTCCGATTTTTTATTAGTTACAGTAAAATAATCCTATGAGGAGGCGCCTAGTGATTTCTAGTTTCTTTCCTGTGCCAGTGAAACATCACTAGCATTATCAAGACAAAGAGTATTTCTAATTCCTGAAGAGTTTTATTGTGTAAAGAGTACCCTGTCCCCCCCCCCAAAAAAAAAGCTTTAAAATATTTCTTTAGAGTAATACTCAAAGCTCATATTAGAATTAAAAAATAATTTTTATTTGCTTAATTTTGAGTTTGGGGCCATGCCTGGCAGTGCTCAGGGACTGTTCTTAGCTCTGAACAGAAACCTGCTAGAATTTACAGCGCTTTATTTTACTGTATTTAGGATATGAAACAATTAGCTGTTCAGCTCATAAAGAGAGAAAAGTATTCCCCGGAAATGAAGCTTTGCTTTTGGAATCTGTATAGGGAGGACTGTGATACGTGAAGTAGCAAGGTGTTCTTGGCTTTGGTTTTGGACCACAGTGGTGCTCAGGGATTGTTCCTGACTCTGTGCCAGGACCTACTCGTGGTGGTGCTTGGGGGATCATGTAGGAAGTTCGGATTGGACCTAAGTTAGTCATGTGCAAGGCAAACACACGGCCTGCTGTACGATGCTTGGGCCCTTAAAATAGCAGTTTAAAGTCTCCTTTTCCCCCTTAAGACAAAACTACGTTCTATCCAAACCTTGCACGTTGAGAAGGACTTGGTATTTCATTCAGTGTGAGCCCCTTGACCTGGTCCTCTGGCTGTGGAGCTGCTTCTACGTTTTCTGTAGCCTCGTCCTTCTGTCTGCTATTGCGCTTTAGAGCCTTGAGGTGAGCCCCCAAACTTCCTGGGAATAGGCTATAATGCTGCCCACTTTGTTTGAGTTTTAATTTTGGGGAGTCCAACCTGTGACAGGAGAGAAGAATCTTTATGGTCTACAGTGCTCGGATAAAGTTTAAACCTGATAATCACTGAATATATTTTCTCTTGAATTCTTCCTTCATTTAACAGCTGGAGAGAGATTAGCCAAAGACTAATCTAGCAAGACTTGGCACTTGTTCCAGTTAATGCCTGTGCCTACCTCATTTGGGACTGTGGAATTTATTTAGCCAAGTGTGTTTTAAAGAACTGTCTAGTCCAAGGAATGTATAGATGTCTGATAATTTAGCTCTTTTCCCTTCAAAGTGAAATATTGATTTTTGTGCCACTTTAATTTCCCAATAGGACTGAAATAGAATGCAGGTAATGGCCAGAACAGGTCCGAGGCCAGTGAGGCTTGAAGCACGTATAGATCTGTCTGCCATGAGGCAGATAGTTTTCAAGTTGGAAATTGGCCTGATGGCTTAGAGTCTGCGTGTTAGTTTTGTTGTTGCAAGGGGTTATAGCAGGAGGAAAATCGAGCTGAGACTGAGCTGACCTGATGTAAACTTTTGTTTCCCTCAAAAAACGAATCTGAAGCAAAACCAGTGTCTCATTTCAAAGGAAAGGGTTCATTTCCACAATGGCCTCAAGACTAGCCTCAGAGCAGAACTTCTTTCTCTGATGAACAGAGCAACTTAAGCAATAAGAGCAAAACTTTCTGATGGACAGGTAAATTGTAGCTCATAAATTGTGCACTGCATTCAGAAGTGTATTTATTGACAGCCAACTAGGAAAGGAAAGTCTATTGACAGAACTAGAGGTAATCACAAAGAATTGCATGTTCCTTTCAGGCAAAAAGGCAGTTCAGTCCTTTCTTTTTTGACTTGATAGCCTGATGTCCCAGGCAGTCTCTGACGGTGAAATCAATACTGTGAAACAGCCTTTTCTTTTCAGTCTTCTTTATTCGCAATATAATACACTGAGGAGTGTTGAATCAGGTAAGCAAAAATTCAATATTTTATCATATTTACTAGGTAGAATCACTGAAGCTTTGAGTATGGTGATATAGAGACCCAGACTTCTTGTTTTTTTTTTTCCTTTTTCTTTTTTTTAACCCAGACTTTTTAAGTAATAGAAAATTAATTTTTTTTTGATAAAGCTGCTTCCTTTCAGAGTATTATTTTAGAGTTTGTGCTATGTAGATGCGTGTAGGATGACATTGCTTTGTCCTTCTTCCACAAGGAGCTTAGGTTTATCTGGTTACACCCATCACAGTGCTCCTGAGGCACTTCCATTCCATTGTGTTTATCTGTGAACAGTCTTCCCTATGCTCTCCTCCCCACCCAGTTAATCAGCTTTCCCCTTAATCAGACTTTGTTAATTTGTAAGATCAGTTTCCCAGAAATCTATGATTTTATATGTGTGAGTGAAATATTGCCTTTCTCCTCTCCTTATTCCTTATGAACAGTTTACTTTAAAGCAATATCCTTTTTGTATAGATATAGGAAGACTGTTAACGTTATGCTTTGTAACTTAGGATTTGATTGGCTTTGAATATTATTCACTCCCGGGCATCTGCTTTCTCGACTTAAACCTCAGTTGTCCTTAGTTCCTAACACCCCCAAAGCAGGGTCCCGACAAGGGACTGAATGGACCCAGGGCAAGCAGTGAGCTACCCTGGCATCGAAATGGGCCAGGCCAAAGTGCCACGATTCTTAACTATAAGTTAAGAGTTTGATCATAGACAAATGCTGTCAGGATCCAAAGTAACGATGAGACTAGGATCCTGCTAGGGGTGGGAAAGACTATCTGGCCTGAGCACTGTAGTCTGAGATCGAGATGGCCCTAGGAGGGCAATTTTATAAGTTTAAGGTATTTTTCACTGTATCCATACAAAATGATTTATATTATATGCCTATATGCTTGTCGGACAAGGAGAGGAGAAACACACCCCCAGGATTCTGCTCTAGGGTGGGTCATCCTGCTGAGCCAGGATCTGTCCTAGGAGTGGCTTTCCCTGAGGGAAAGAGTTCTACCCCTATTGACTGTGACCACACCTATGTGTAATTATTACCCCAACCCCTCATGCTTTGGGATTTAACTGTACTGTAAGAGGGGATCAGAAGGGGATCAGAAGGAAGAGAAAGAAAGATCAGAACCTAGACCCCAGAGGAGGAGGATGAAGGGGGATGGAGGAGAATGAAGTAGCATGGGGGAGGAAGAAGCAGGAGGCAGAGGCAGAGGAGAGAGACTGGTGTGGATGGAGAGAGGATTGGAATAAACTACGACTAACAGCAACCAGCCTGGCCCTCGTTTCCTTCCTTTGCCTGCCCATCGCCATCGACCTCCCCGGGGTGGGGGAAGAAGGGTGAGACTACCGAAAGCGGGCGGCGGGAGAGATAGAGCCACCACCGCTGTGTGTGTGCCCCTTTTGAGTTTACACAGATGAGGGTGGACTATTTAAAGTTTTAGTTTTAGGACTCGTGGTTCACAAAATTATCAGTGACAGGGTTTCATACATATTACATATTTCACATTCCAGCTCCCATCACCTCGCCCTCCACCAGTGTTTGCTTCCCTCCAGAGGGTAGGCTATTGTGGGGGTTTTTGTTGTTATTCATTTTTGGCCACTCCTGGCAGTACTCAGGGCTTACTCCTGTCTCTGCTCAGAGATCACTTCTGAGCATATGGAGTGATCAGGGTCATGTGGAGTGCCCAGGAGCTAACCTGAATCAACCCTGTGCAAGGCAAACACCTCCCTGCTGCTCTCCGGTCCCCAGGCTTTTAAGAAGGCTTCACTTTTCTAGTGATAGAATTTCAGAGCAGGAATGGAATAAGAGAACAGAATGAAATCTATTCCAGCCCCATCAGAACAGTGAGGAAACATCCTCGTAAGGTAAGACTCTCAGCTCTAAGTTCTTGGCATATTCTCCAACATAACTCAATAAAATGCCTTTAGTTTTTTTTGATGCTTGTTTCTTTATTTTTCTTGACATAAAAGCTGAACCATTTAATTATATTCTGACCTAAGGATATATTTGCATATTTCGTTTTTATTTATTTATTTATTTTATTAGTGAAACACCATGAGGTACAGTTGTAGACTTACAGATTTTTGTGCTTGGGTTTCAGTTATACAATGATCAAGTGCCCATCCCTCCACCAGCGCCCATCCTCCACCACCACGGGTCCCAGCATCTCTCCCACTCCCCATCCCCCCCATCCCACCCTGCCTCTGTGGCAGGGCATTCCCCCTTGTTCTCTCTCTTTTCTTTTGGGTCCTGTGTTTTGCAAGAGAGGCATTGAGTGGCAAACATGTTCAGTCCATAGTCTACTTTCGACATGCTTCTCCCACCATGGGAGGATCCTCACAACACCCTTTATTTGGTGCTATCTTCTCTATCTGAACTTCCTTTTCACCTAGCACGTTTGGCTGGCCTCCAAGTCATGGAGCAAAATTTCTGGTACTAATCTCGGCCACTCCTGGGTCTTAGTCTCCCATTTTGTTGCTTTATGTTCCCCAGATAAATGCAGTCTTTCTGTGTCTATCCTGCTCTTTCTGACTCATTTCACTTAACATGATACTTTCCATATAGTA